TACTTCTTCCTTTTGAAAATACATATCTTTGTAAGGTAGTATTTTCTACATATAATTCAGCCAAAATAACATATTACAACAGATTGAATTCAGAAGCAGATATAAGAACCCAGATGTCTTCTATAAGCCAGACATCAAGGAGGTTTCCAAAATTATTGTACTCAATATATTTTGTTTTGCAAATAGTTATTTTTCATATGCTATTTATCTTAACATGTATTAGATTTGTTATTTAAAAATGAATAAATACTTAAAAATTGCTCAGCTTTAATTTTAAACATTGGTATTGATATATATAACTCACATAAACAAAAGCTCTTTGGGGTTCTCAATAACGTAAGAGTTCAAGTATCCTAAGACGTTTGAGAACCACCGTTCCAAGATAATTGAGATAACGAAATAACAAAGCCAGCAGAAATTCTTGTCATGCAGACTCATGGGAAAGTGTAAGTTTCACATCCTAGTTTTCCCCGGGATCCACCTCTTACAATCTGGAGTATCTTACTTTGCCTGGCATCCTTTATTTACTCCCTTTTCAACATGCTTTTCCCTATACCTGGGAAGAAGCTGCTAGTTGTCCCTCAATGTCTGCTCTTCCCTTTTTTCTGTAGTCAAAGAACCCCAGATACTTATCTGCCACACAACTGCCTATGAAAAAAAGATGAAATTTCTGTCCTTGCAGCTAGATGTAGACATCAGAATAAATTCTGGCCAATGGGGTACATGGAGAAATGGTACATACAGGCCGGGTGTGGTGGCTCATGCCTGTAATCCCAGCACTTTGGGAGGCCAAGGTGGGCGATCACTAGGTCAGGAGTTCAAGACCAGTCTGGCCAAGATGGTGAAACCCCGTCTCTACTAAAAAATATATAAACATTAGCTGGGCGTGATGGTGGGCGCCTGTAATCCCAGCTACTCAGGAGGCTGAGGCAGAGAATTGCTTGAACCCGGGAGGCAGACGGTTGCAGGGAGCTGAGATCCGGCGACAGATCAAGACACTGTCTCAAGGCAAAAAAAAAAAAAAAAAAAGAAAAGAAAGAAATGGTAAATGCAACTTCTGGCAAGTTTTCTTTTCTTTCTTTTTTTGAGACGGAGTCTCACTGTGTCCCCCAGGCTGGAGCGCAATGGCGTGATCTCGGCTTACTGCAACCTCCCTCTCACAGGTTCAAGTGATTCTCCTGCCTCAGCCTCCCGAGTAGCTGGGATTACAGATGTGCGCCAGCACATCCCGCTAATTTTTGTATTTTTAGTAGACATGTGATTTCACCATGTTGGCCAAGCTGGTCTCAAACTCCTGACCTCAAGTAATCCGCTCACCTCGGCCTCCCAGAGTGCTGGGATATAGGCGTGAGCCACAGTGCCCGGTCATGGCAAGTTTTCTTAAAGGAAACGGTGTGCCTTCTTTCTCTTCTTCCTTTCTGCTAATTGAAATGTGGACTCAATGTCTGTTTCTATATTAGAATACATAGAAAAGAGTCACACCCTATGACTGGGAGATTTGGAAAACTGGGAGAAGCCTGGGTTCCCAGTAACTCTGTGGAACTGCGAATGTAACTGGTGTTATTTCCAGAGTACATCAATGCCCACACAAATCTCAAGACAGGCTGGTGCACATGGTAACTTTCCCCAGGGAGAGCAGAACTAGTTCTTTTACTATCAGAAAGTTTTACTAAGCCAGTAAGTGGCATTAAAGTTGTCAGGATAAATGACGTCTATCTGGAGAGCTGGCTAGAAACAACCAATCCCCTTGAACCCTCCTTACAGAGCAAGAACTATGACTGATATTTTCTTAATTACTTGTAAACTGCATGATTTTAGCTCTATGCTGAGTCTTTCCAATAGGTATTAGATTGGACCAATGATCACTGACAGCCTGATAAAGATTCAGCCTGTCATAAAATTTTTATTCAGCTGAATAAAAATTCAGCCTTTAATTTTAAAGATTAAATTAAATTTTAATTTAATTAAAAATTAAAATAACAGCAATACTATCACACCTAAAAAATCAACATCAGTTCCTTAATATCAAATACTCTCAATTGTTTCATAACTTTTTACAGTTAGTTTGGATAAAGATACAAACAAGGTACCCATTTTATTTGATGTTCCTCAAATCTATTAATTGATAGGATGCTCCTCTTTCTTTTCTCCTTGCAATTCATTTGTTAAAGAAACTGGGTTCTTTGTCCTGTAGCATTTCTCACATTTTGGATTTTTGTGATTGCAGCCTTATGGTGTCATTTAACATGTTCCTCTGCCCTCTGTATTTCTTGTAAACTAGTAGTTCTAACTAGAGACTTGATCAGATTCAGGTTCAATTTTTTGACAAGGATGCCCCAGAGGTGGTGGTTTGCTCTTCTTGCGTCTTTCTGTGGTATAAGGGTTGATGAATGTGTTGAAATTCAAATGATGATAATATTATTCTATAATCCTTCTAATGCATTAGTTATAATTGTTCTGTAAAGTTTTCTTTCATCAATTGGTGACTTTGAAGTATAATTTGTACAGGGAACAGGGTAAATGCTTACTTCTTCCTATTTATCAGTTTTGTGAATAGTGATTTGGTTCCCTAGCATCCTATAAAAGGGACTACCAGGTTTGTCATTATGATTATCATTATGACCTTATAGATTTTAACATATTTTAGGTGTTTTAATCATTTATTTGTTTTTTAAATCAAATTATCTCATCTTTGACTAGTGGGAGACCTTTCAAGTGGGTCCTGAGTCTTTCTGACATGAGTACATTGGTCTTTGACAGTTTCTTTGCTTTCTGGTATGACAAGATTTTCCAGCTTCTCTTATACATTTCCTGCCCATGTAGTGAAGAGTTTGATCTGGCCCAAAGAGAGGACTGGCCTTTGCCTTAGCTTCCAGAAAGTAATCTATGTCATACCTGATAGAAATGTCTTTGTTTAGGGTAGGGTTGGCCACACCTAAGAGTCTTAGAGTGGGAGCTGGCCATGCCAGAAAGACTAACATGTGACTTAGGGTGAGAGCTTTGGTTTATGTGGCATCAGTCAACCTGGAAACTGAGATCAGTCATGTAATCCATCCATCCATCCATCAATCAAACTATGTAATGAAACCTCAATAAAAACTTTGAATGCTGAGGCTCAAGTGAGCTTCCTTGCTTGGCAATATTCCATGCTTATTATCACACACTGATGCTGGGAGGGTAGCATGTTGTGACTTCAAACCTATGTAATGAAACCTCAATAAAAACTTTGAATGCTGAGGCTCAGGTGAGCTTCCTTGCTTGGCAATATTCCATGCCTATTATCACACACTGATGTTGGGAGGGTAGCATGTCCTCTTCACAGAGCAGAGGGTAATAGTGGCTTAACATTTGGACTCCTCCCAGACTCGGATCTTTGTGTCTTATTTTGGCTGATTTTAATTTGTATCTTTTCCCTGTAATAAACTGTAACCACGAATGAGTATAACAGATTTCAGTGAATTGTGTGAGTTCTTCCAGTGAATTATTGAAGCTAAGGGTGGTAGTTCGGGGGAACCCTCTGAACTTGCAGTTAGTATAAAAAGTAAGGATAGTCTTGCAGACTGTGACCTCTAACTTTGCAGTTTGGCTAACTGTGGGCACTACTTCAGGTCTGTAATCAGTTCTTACTCTAAGGATTCCTTTCTCCTTTCAGTGAGAAATGGTATTTACATAAAACAATTTTGGCACTAGGGGTGCCCACTGCTACTGGGTGGGTGGTCATTGTTTCTAGGCCTTTTCTGTGAAGAGAGCTAGAAAAAGCTTTTCTCTCTCCCTCTCTTTTTTAAGAGAAAATCTAGCACAACCTCATACTGATGTTTCCAGTTCGAATTTAGGATTATAGGTAGGTATTTACTTCTTTGATTTTATATTTGTAGCTCTTTAACATTTTCATGTTAAATCTTGGTATTTATATACAGCAAGTATTGCTTGTTTTATCCTAATATATAAAATTTTCAGAATAGCAATACCAATACTAACAATATGGTGACTGTAAACAATTTCTTTGTAGTTATTTTTTATCTTTTAGAAATACAGTCAAATTTCAGATCACCTGAAATAGTTTCTTTCCATGAAGCTAAGTCATCCACTCAATGGTTTATCAGGTCCATGTTTTATTTTGCTTGATTTTTAGGTATTATCTTTTCTCTCTATTTTAATGTTCGTCTTGGATTTTAGGTAAACCATGTGCACGGTTCTAAACATCAAATTTACATAACAAGCTAAGTTCAGAAGTTTAGCTTCTACTCTTATCACATTTTTACATTTTACTCTTTTTAATGACCCACCTCATTCCACTGCAGTACATTTTTAACTGTAGATAAAAATTCCACAATCAGCATATTCATCAAATGCAAATGGCATCACTAAAGTAGTGCCTAGAAGGATTTTTTTTTTTTGGTAGAGATGAAGTCTCACTATGTTGCCTAGGCTAGTCTCGAACTCTTGGGCTCAAACAATCCTCCCACCTGGGCTTCTCAAAGTGCTGGGATGACAGGCATGAGCCATTGTGCCCAGTCCATATTAAGTTTTAACAAGCTCTATTTTGTACATAATCTGCAAAGGTAATCTTTAATTCTGCATGGCTGAATTGTCACATAATCAAAATGTTTACAGTTAAAATTAATTTCCTAAAATAAATTTTAATTTACTAAGGACTATAAGTAAACTAGAAATTCTTAAACAATAAACACCAACATAATATTACTCTTGCACAGATGACTTTGGGCACAGTAGTATCTAAATACCTCTTGGGGACTTGTGAAGTAAAGGGACAATGAACCTATACTGTATATCCTCCATATGCGCCAGCTGCCCATTTCTTCATGTTGTTAGAGTTTCTCAACATTCGGTTCTCAGCAGTGTCTTACTCTACACTTGTCTCTGAGCGACTTCTGCTTCCAAGGTTTCCCATTTCCTCTATATGCTAAAGATTTACATATTTATATCTCCAGTTAAGAATTTTTTCTTACGTTTTAAGGCAGATTACTCAAAGAACTTACCAACCCATGGGTCCCATTGTTTCAGCTCTAGTTTTCCCACGTTTTGCCTCCTTAAGCAGTTCTTCTATTGCTTTCCTGATAAGAAAAAGGAAAAGATTTGAGAGGCAGTCACCCCACTAAGTTCTGAAAATCAATTCATTCTAGGTCCATGATCTTGGGAAAGGAACTAACCTTTGAAGCATGATTGTTGGGGCAAATTTTTTTTTAAACAGTTGACAATTTTGAACACATAAATTAAAAAGAAACTATTAATATAAAGAGAAGCAACAATGAAGAGAAAAAATTACAAACTGGGAAAAATATTTTTGGTATGAGACAGTTAAATCACATACCCTTAATACAAGAATTCTCTTTTCTTATTAATTTGAATAACCAAAAGACATGAACATCCAAATATGTATGTATCTATATTTTTTCAAATTCACTGTTATTCAAAAAAATACCAGTGAACTCAACAAGGATAAATGTTTCTGCCCATTAGTGAGGGGGGTAGAAAAATGGATAACTTCTTCTCTACTAATGGGGACTGAAGCTGATATTACATTTCTGGAGGACAATCCAGCAACATAATAAAGAACCTTAAGAATAGTATATACCAGTTGACCTAAAAATTTTACTTTGTCCTATGAAAATATTCAAGTAAGTATGCAAAACTATATGTACAAGGATATTCAAACTATTTGCTAACAAAGAAAAAAAACAGAAAACTTAAATATTTACTGATAAAGAATTGGTTAAATAAATCATGACATATCCACATACGCGGAAGATTAGGCAGTCATTAAAAATGAAGACAAATGAATTTTTGGCACAGGACAGACATTCAGTATATAAAGCTGGTACAAAAGAATATGTGTAGAATAATCTTAATTTCAAAATTATTTACATATATATTACATAGAAAAACATTTGGAGAGGGCTGGGTATGGTGGCTCATGCCTGTAATCCCAGTACTTTGGGAGACTGAGGTGAGAAGATCACCTGAGGCCAGGAGTTTGAGACCAGCCTGGGCAACACAGCAAGACCTGGTCTCTAAAAAAAATAAAAATAATAATAATAAAAAAATCTGGAGGGATGTTATCAAAACAGTAAGATGAGTTGTAAGGTGATTTTTTTTTTCTGTTTGCATTGCTGCATTTTCTATTTTTTTCTACAATGAACATGTATTATTTGTGTAATTTTTGAAGAGGTTAAAAAAACAGAAAACATATTTATCAACTATATTCTGAGACTTTACTATGTGTAAAATACTGTGCAAGGTGCTATGGGTAGCAACATAGGAAGATGATCATCCCTGACTTGAATATGATGTATCAATAACAAAGTTAAGAAAAAGAGAGGTGTAAACAAATATAGTCCAAAACAAATATAGTTCAAAAACAGAACTATAAATCTAATCATGAATTTTTGAAGCTGGATAATTATATAGAGTCTATATCAAAATGTTATAATGACACTATTATAATACTACCATACACTATTTATATAATCTTCAAATATTAACATTCTGTTTACAAGAACGTTTTATTTCATGTTGATTTTTATCAAAGTAAAGCATGCACATCGTTTAAAAAGACAAATATTATTTAAAAGATTTAAAATACAATAGTCTTCTACATTATCCTGCCCTACCCACCAAAGAAAACAATTTCAACTTTTTTTCATCTGTTTCTCTTTATTTACTTCCATATTCTTAATACTATGCTTTCAAACTATTTCACCACCTCTTCATCTTCAAAAATACATCTGCTCATTTTTGTATAACTCATTTTTAAATAAACTCTGATTGAGATCTTTAATGTCTTTTCAGTTAACTCAGCAGCCTGACATTTTCTGATCCTTCTTGGGAAGGCCCACTGCTATGGATCAATGAAGAACTGAAGCGCCTGCCTATCTACCAACATGCTGACTCCCTCAATCACAAGTTTCGCAGCCCAGTCTTATGGAATCACGAACAGGTAAGTTCATTTGATGACCACATATGCTGCTTCTTCCAGTTCTTTAGAATAATGATATGGCCTGCTGAAATGATCTGGGGACTTTGTCTCTTACAGTAGTTCAATCAAAATTTATCCTAATTCCAAACCGAGATCCTTTTTCACCCTTATAGATTTAAGTAAAAAACTTAAAGGGTATAAATATTCCAAATATGCCTCTTCCTTTCCCATAAATTAGTGTGGTAGTTTTAAAATAAAAACAGATAAATCATACCTAGATCCACCTATGTGCTCTCCTTCTGTCAAAAGAAATGGTTAAAAATAATTGGGAAAAAAACTTTTTGGGGCAGTTCCCCAACTATGAACAAAATACGTATCAGTTACAAATAAACTAGAATGTGTTTTCCCATAAAAACTATGTTAAAATGTTTGCCTAGCTTTCTGGACCAGACTACAGAAGCTTATTTGAGTCAGAATCCAGCTGAAATGCTATACATCTGCAGAAGGTACTCAGTAAAGATTCTTGCAGAGACCCTGAAGGCATATTCTAGGTGCTTTCAAGAGCTTGAAGTTTGACAGTGATTCTTCTTTAGTTTTGATTCTACTTAAAATTGTCTGTAGCACTGTTATTAATTTTACCTGGCACGCTTAAGGATGCCTTCTGGTTTACGAGTACAATCAAAGAGAAAAGAAGGTATGTGTATGAGAAAGACTGCCTGCAGTAAAACAAATTCACCAAGGATGAAAGACCATAAAAGAGGAGTAGAGACTAGGGGGAAGGGCACTCAGTCAGCTGGTCTACCTTGTTCCCATTGGTAAAGGGGGCTTAGCTGCTGTCCACAGCCAAAGTGGTGCAGAGTGACCCATTCCCATGGTTTGGATCTACCCAAGTTAGGTATCTGCAATTGGTTTAACAACAACTAATTTTGATATAGAGCTTTAAGTATACCAAGTACTATACTATATAACCATGACAACATAGTTATTACCACCAGTTTGCAGATGTGGAAAGTGATATTCAGAGACATCGACTAACTTGCCCAAAGTAACACTGCTAACGATCAGGGAGAAGGGCAATGGGGAAGAGGAACAAAGCAAACAAAACCCAACCTCTGTTTTTAAGGCTAGGTATCATCTGATCCTTCTATTAGACTATCTCCTCCACAAATATCTGCACAGTAAATCCTGGAGAAATCGTTTATCATTAAAAGGCAAAAATTAAAATAAGTGGGGAAAAAAAGGCCTAACAGAGTGCCACTACTGCATTTATTCAAAGATAACTGGGGAATAGGCTGATACTGGAGAGGCGGAAGGAATGAAGGAGGACTGATCACTATTTTGCCCTAAGAATGTTGAGCATTCGCTACTTCCCACCCAAAATTCTCCTGCATAAGCTCCCTCTACAGAGCTTTACTTTCAAAGAAAAAAACAACAATTTCTAGCAATCAAGTATCCCAACTTTAAAACAGTATCACTACCTTCAAAGTTAAGGGGAAAAAGTCAGCAATTACCCCATTACTATAGCCTCTGTTGTTTCCTCGAGAAACCCCATTAATGAATTACTGGGTAAGCAAATTATAAATCCAGTTTCTATTCTACATTATCACAAAGGCAAAATACTTAAATTATCAAAGATTATGAAACATCAACGTGCATGAAACAAGACAGTTTTTAATGAGATGATGAAAGAAGTGTAAACTGTAATTAAAATACAGGAAAAGCAAATAGGAGAACATATAAGTACTAAGTATATACAGAACTTGAACCATTAAAAAATTATTCAGACATAAACTTAGTTCTTGGTATGCTAGTTTTTATACTTGGTTCTTTTCAATATCTTGAAGGTTTCTTTGTAAAACCAATTAATTATATTAGAATACTAAGTTCCATGGAGACCCAAGAGAGCTGAGTCATTAAGCAGACGGTTTTCTGGGCACAGGAACAAACCACAATCAATTTTCAATGATCCATGTGTGTATTATCTCCAGCCAATTTTCCATCCTAGCACAGCTTCCTCAGGCCTGCCTGTTCACTCCATTAGCCAGCTGGTACATGCTTAAGGAATGTCAACTGATCATAATAGCAGCTTAAATAAAACCTAAGTGGGAATGCAAATCTGGTACAAAATCATCTTAAAATCCAAAGTCAAACAAATTAGTTTTGAGTTATCTGGGTCTGTTTCTTTTTAATCACTTTAATCAACTGAAGGTTAACTGTTCCAGTATACAAAAGGGGTAGCAAGAAATTGAAGGCAACTGAAATAAAGCACCAGAAATTGAGAGGAAAATTGAACAATAAAGTAGGAAAACGGGAATTTTAAAGGAATAAAATCAGAGAAGCTAAATCTCAAATAACTGCTCAAAAATGATGGAGTCAGTCAGAGGGAGCTACAGGCCTCTTCCTGCGATGGTGAAGGAAAGCTAGGAACACAGGGCTGAACGTTAGAAGCTTTCCTCATTTGTGTCTCTCTCAGTCTTTAAAAAGTCACCTTCGATCAGCTAACTATACAGTACAGTATCTGTCACATGATGGACAGAAAAACAGGTTCAAAAAAGGCAATACATTGTTTAACAGGACTACTCTCTTCCTGAGTGTGTTCAAACAAGCACGACTTGGTGACAAGAATACAGACTTCTTAGAAAATTGGCAGAAATGAGCACAGCATCATTTGCTGCTGTTGACTGGGATGTCATCTAAAAGGCCCAACACGGTATCAGTGCTGAAGGCAAACATGTTTATACTTGTGGAGTCATCCACATACATGTAAAAGAAACCTTACGATGGCAATCTAAATTTCTTCCCATAATGGAGTAATAAAGCTTAGAGAGAAAAATGGAACTATCTACTTCATCTTCGGTAAAGCTTTGATGTCAGATCATTGATGAAAAAAATATGGACAGATGATCAGATCACTCTGAACATCTGCAAACAACTGCTTATGGGTTCACCCTGCCAGTAGTAACTAGTGGTTTAGTAGTCATAGGGATCTGTAGAAACCACAGGACAAAGTTTGGTTCTTTATGACTTAGTATTTTGACTACAGACACAGGCAAAAATTTAGAAATATCCTTATTTAATTTCAGTAAAACATTAAATTGTCTGGGGTCATGTATCAGCTCTAAAGAAAGGTGAAAAAAA